TGTCAAAAACCCCCTTGCACTGACAAAGGACTTTGGCAAAGTCTCAGGGTATAAAATATGTGCAAAAGTCCATCACATTTATATACACAAACAATAAACAAACAGAAACCCAAATCAAAGGCACAATCCCATTCAAAATAGCCACAAAAAATAAAAAGAAATACCTTGGCATCTTCCTAATCAGAGACATGACCAGATCGTTACGCAGCTCAAAGAAATCAAAGATGACACAAACAAATAGAAAATTATTCCACGCTCATGGATTGGAAGAATCAACATTGTTAAAATGTCCATTCTACCCAAGGCATTATAGATTTAATGCAATACCCATTAAATTATTAGCAGCATTCTTCTCAGACCTGGAAATGAAAATACAGAAATTATATGGAAACATACAGTTCCACGAATAATCAATACAACCCTCAGAAAAAGAAGTGTGGGGTATCACACTCCCAGACTTTAAACTTCATTATAAAACTAAAATAATCAAAATAACCTGGTATTGGTACATGAACAGTTATATAGACCTATGGAATGGGATAGATATTCCAGAAGCAAATCCTTAATTTCTCAACCAACTCATCTTCGACAAGGCTCTACCACCAACCACTAAGGAGTTGAGAATTTATTCAGTAAGTGATGATGGGAAAACTGGCTGACCACAAGCCAAAGATTAAAACAAGACCCCTAACTATCATCATATACAAATATCAACTCTAAATGGATCAAAGATCTAAATTTAAAATCTCAAACTATAAAAATCTTAGAAAGTGCAGGAGACACACTTATGTAAATTGGAACTGGCAACCAATTTCTGATCAAAACCCCAAGTACCCATACCATAAGATGAAGATAAGATTTACTGAATTCAGTAAATTTTCAAAATACTTCTATACTTCTATAAATTAACAATGAACTATTTGAAAAATAAATAAAGAAAACCATCCCATTTACAATATCTATTAAAATACTTAGTAATTAATCTAACCATGGAAGTGAAAGATCTCTATTCTAAAATATATAAAGCAATGATAAAAATGAATATAAACATATTCCAAGTTTATGAAATGGAAGAATTGATGTTACAATGTCTATAGCACCCAAAGGAATCTACAGATTTCATGCAATCTTTAGAAAACCACCCATGACATTCTACACAAAATAACAAAGAATCCTGAAATTTACATGGAGACATGAATGTTCCTGAATAAGCAAAGCAGCACTAAGCAAAAATTGCTGAACAGGATGTGGAGAAAAGTGAACCCTCACACACTGTTGCTGTAAATGTAAGTGAGTACAGCCACCATGAAATGTATAGCGGTTCCTCAAAAATTAAAGATAGAACTACCATACAATCTAGCATTTCCACTCCTGGGTTTGTGTCGAAAGGAAATGAAACCAGGGTGTCGACGGTTTCCTGCACGCCCACGTATATCACAGTACTATTCACAGTAACCAAGATTTGAAATCAGTCTACAAGTTCATCAATGGATTAGTGGACAAAGAAAATGTAATATAAATATAAATGTGTGTATGTGTGTGTGTGCACGTACACAATGTAATACTATTCAGTCTCTAAAAGAAGGAAATCCTGTCCTTTGCAAACACATGAATAGACTCAGAGGACATTATGCTAATAAGCCAGGCACAGAATGAAAAATATCACATGTTCTTACTCATATGTGGATTGTAAATGTATAATGATATACACCAGAAGCTGGAATGTTTTAGCGGGAGAGTCGGGAAGATGTTGATCAAAAACCACAAGATTTCTATTAGATAGGAGGAATAAGTGTGGCTCATGTTTTCTCCAACATGGAGATGATAGTTAACAACATATTGTAACTTTATAAATGCTATAGAGAGAAAGTAAAATGTTATTTCCACAAAAGTGATAACTATGTGAAGATGCCAGATTAACTCACTCCACAATATATATGTGTTAAAGATTTTTTTGCTTTACACAATAACTACTGAAAATATCATTACCAGTTAAAAATTACATTTTGAAAATGAGCAAAGGTTATGAAGAAGCATTTTCCAAGAGAACACATACAGTTGGCTAATGTGGATGAAAAAAGTGATTAATATTATTAATCTTCCAAGAAAATTTAATTACAGCCTTAATAAGGTATGATCTCTAACACTTGTTAGGATGCTATTTTTTTAAAGAGGAAGTGACAAGTGTTGGCAAGGACATGGAATAACTAGACCCCTTGCACACTGTTAGTGGGAATGTAAATCAGCACAGCAGTTACCAAAGGCAGCATGGAAGTTCCTCTGAATTAACTATGAGAACTACTATATGTTTCCACAGTTTCGCTTCTGGGTCTACATCCAGAGGAAATGAAATCAGTATGTGGAAGTGATGTCTGCACTCTCACATTCACTAAAGCATTATACACAGTGTCTCCTCCAGTAGGCTCATAGCTATGAATAAAGAAAATGTAGTAAGCAGTAGATACACATGGGATACTATTCAGCCTTCTAGAAGAAGGAAATTCATTTTTCATTTGTGACAACAAGAATGAACTTAGAGGACATCATGCTAAGTAAAAAAAGAAGGCAAAGAGGGACAGACCATTCAATCTCATTTTTATATGGAATGTAAAACAGTTCAGCTCATCGAAGTAGAAAGTAGTATGGTGGCTACCAGTAGTTAGCGTGGGGTTTGTGTAGAATTGGAGCAATGTTGGTCAGAGAATACAAATTTCAGTTAAAGAGAAATAAGTTTAGAGGATCTTTTGCACAACAATGGTACTACAATAAATAACAACGTATACATGAAGATTGATAAGTGAGATTTTAAGTGTTCCTTTTGCACACACACACACACACACACACACACACACACACACAGAGCTAGGTGAATTTAAAGATACCTTAATCAGCTTGATCTAGACATTCTGTGAGGTATACTTTATAAAGAATTCATGATTTGCACCCAAAATATATATTTTTTATTTGCCAAGTAAAATAAAAAGAACTTAGAAAAATAAAACTGAAACGTATTATGTGAAAAAATAATAACTGCATATTTTAAAATATGCCATTTAAATTATAATAATTTCAGTTTTACTAGTGATGAGTTTTTATTTTTATTATTAGGTACTTGTGTATTTGATCACAAGTGTTGTCTGTATCTTTTAAGAGGATACTCTTTAATTGGAATCTAAAAACTTGTTTTAAAAATAGAAAAAAAAAAGCTGAGCTCGGTGGCTCAGCCTGTAATCCCGCGCTTTGGGAGGCTGAGGTGAATGGATTGCCTGAGTCCGCGGGTTCGAGACCCGCCTGGGCAACTTGGCGAGACCTCATCTCTACAATAAATCAAAAAATCAGCCAGGCGTGGTAGAGCGTGCCTGCAATTCTGGCTACTCGGAAGGCTGAGGCGGAAGGATTGCCAGAGCACAGCAGGTCGAGGCTGCAGTGACCAGGAGCGGCCACTGCACTCCAGTCTGGGCAACAGAGTGAGACTCCAACTCAAAAAAAATAAACAACTAAAAATAAAAATAGAAAAAAAAGGTGACTGGGCATGGTGGCTCACACCTAGAATCCTAGCACTTTGGAAGATTTCTTGAGTCCAGGAATTTGAGACCAGCTTAGGCAACATAGCAAAAGAAAATTTCAAAATAATCTGGGCTTTTTGGTGTGTGTCTGTGACCCAGAGATTGAGGTGAAAGTGTCACCTGAGCCAAGGAGGTCGAAGAGGCAGTGAGTCATGATTTTGCTTCACTCCAGCCTGAACAACAGAGTGACTCTGACTTTAATAATAATAAAAATTAATGATAATAATAGCAATAACAACAATGATCAGTGCAATCTTGATGTATTTTAATGTGATATACCACTAAAACTTATTTGTGAAAATCTGTTTAGAGAGTTATATCTGAGTTCATGTGACAGATTTTCCATGACTTTCCTATTTTCTAGGCTCTTTGTCAAGCTTTGGTATTGATTTTTTCCATGACTGATATAATGTGTTTGAGCGTATTTCCTCTTTTTCTATTATCAGGAGACGTTTGTGTTTTTCTATGACTGATACAATGTGTTTGAGCGTATTTCCTCTTTTTCTATTATCAGGAGATGTTTGTGATAGCTTGGGAATGTGTGTTGTTAATGTGTGTGTGTTCATAAGCAATCACCAATGAAGTTTCCCGAACTGGAGTTTACACCATAATTTTTTTTACAGTATATATATATATATAATTTTTTATATAATATATACAAATATATAAAATATATATTATATATGAAAATTCATATTTCTCGTTATTTTAGGTCCCTTCTTATTTTCTCATTATTTTAGGTGACTCTTTTGTCCATCTAATATGAATTTCTAATATATTGGCACAGATTTGCACAATGTTCTGATATTAGTTTTGAAAATGTGTGTAGTGTCAGTAGTGCTGTCTCCTTTTTCATTCTCCCATATACATGTGCCTACTCTCTTTTTTTCCCACTCATTGTTGTAAGGATATACAATTGCGATTAATGTTTTCAAAAATAAACATTTTGGGTTTTATTGAATTTTCAATTTCTACTTTTTTCTCATTATTAACTCCCCTTAATATTATTATTTTTTAACTACACCTTCATTTGGAATAGTTTGCCATTCTTTACTATAAATTATTTACATAGTAGTTGAGGTTACTCTCTCCTTGATTTTTTTTCTTATCTAATTACTAAGTCATAGTTTTTGTTTTCCAATTTCATAGTTTCATGTGCCATATTTACTTTGTCAATCAATTTTGTAAATGCTCTAAATTTTTAATTGATGTTTTTCATTTAACTTGCTGATTATTGAAAAGTTTGTTGCTGAATATTAGCTGTGTTTGACTGAAGAATCAGGTGACTCCCAAAGTTCCCAGAATCTCCTGGTGTTCTTTGTTATGGGTACCGCGTGGCGGAGTTCATAGGTAGTGTCTTGTAGGAGCAGCTTCTGTGTGTTTCAGAGTCCCTGAGACACCCTCCATGGAGTGTAGATTCTAGGTCCTCCTGGGTTAGTGGATGGCCAGAGTTGTATACACACTGGGTTCAAATGGAGTATCACCTTCCTGGGACAAATATGATTCAGCTGTCCTCTGTCTGAGATTCAAGGTATGCAGCTGGGCATAGGTCACCTCATGGGGGTCTTCAGATACAGCAGTCTGCAATGATGGGATAGTTAGAAGGGCTGTATGTGGTTGGAGTGGAGGGAAGTCTGTGAACATGAAGAGGAAAAGACCCACCTGACTGTCCCTCTGCCAGTCCTCTTCTGTTTGTCTGTTCTTTGTGTCCAGGAATTTTCCTGACTGGACAAAAGAGGGAGAGGTCATTCCACACCTGAGTCTGGAGAGGTTCACGTGGGCATACATCGCTCCCTGGGGATCTTCATCATGTGGGCTCTGGAGGAGAGAGACCATGAGAGAGGCAATGCCAGGAGTGTTTCTTTGATTTCACTCAAACTCCTGCAGTCAATTTTCCACACTGCTGCCAGACTGAGTCTTTAAATATTGAAAACAGATTGTACCACTCCAATTCAACATTGTACTGGAAATGATCTCTGTTCGCTGATGATATATTTGTATACACAGAAAACCCTAAATCTCCTCCAAGAGATTTCTAGATCCGATAACCAACTTCAGTAACGTTTCAGGATACAAAAATAAAGCACAAAAATAAGTAGCACACACACACACCAATGATACTGAAGTTGAGAACCAAATTATGAGCTCAATCACATTTCAAATAGACACACACACAAGCACAGGCACACACACCCAGGAATACACCTAGCCAAACTGGTAAAAGAACTCTTCAAGGAGAATTCAAAACATTGATGTAAGGAATTGTAGACAACGCAACCACATAGAAAACACTCCATACTCATGGATCCCAAAACTCAATATAGTTAAAATGACCACATTGCCAAAAGCAATCTACAAATTCAACACAATTCCTATCAAAATATCAACATCATTTTCATTGAACTAGAAAAAAAAGCAATAATAAAGATATGGAACAAAAAGGAGCCTCAGTACACAAAATAATCTTAAGATAAAAGAACAATTAAGAAAGCATCACGGTGTCTGAATTCAAATTATACTACAAAGCTATAGAAACTAAAACAGCAATGTACTGGTACAAACATAGACAGATAGAACAATGGAACAGAATAGAGAACTCAGAAATAAAGTCACATACTTACAACCAACAAATCTTCAACAAAACGATTTTTAAAATTAAGAAAGGATGACATTAAATAAATGGTGCTGGGAAATTTTGTTAGTCATATGAGGGAAAATGAAACTTGCTCACTACTTCTCACCATACCCCAGAATAGCATAAATTAATTAAATACTTAAAGATCTGAAACTATAAAAATCCTACCAGAAAACCTAGGAAAAACTGTTCTAGATATTGGAGTAGAAAAAAATTTATAATGAAGAACCCAAAAGCAACTGCAACAGAAACAAAAATAGACAAATTGGACTTAATTAAACTAAAAATTCTGTGCACAGCAAAATAAATAATCAACAGAGTGAACAGAAACATATAGAAGGGAAAAAATTTGCAAATTCTGCTTCAAAGGGCTAATATCCAGAATGTACAAGGAATTCAAACAATCCAGCATTAAAAAAAAAATACCACCCCATCAAAAAGTGGACATCAACATCAAGGAATACTTCTCAAAAGAAGACACACAAGCTGCCAATACATTCATGCAAAAAAAGCTCAACATCACAAATAATCAGAGAAATGCAAATTAAAACCAAAATGGGGCATCATCTTACACCATTCAGAATGGCTGTTATTCAATAAATGTTAAAGAACAACAGATGTTGGTAAAGGTGCAGCATCTGTGAGATGAAAAGGGAACACTCATACACTATTGTTGGGATTGTAAACTGGTTCAAATCTGTAGAAAACAGTATGGAGATCTCTCAAAGAACTAAAAATTGAACTATCACTTAACCTATTAATCCCAGTATTAAATATCTTCCCAAAGGAAATTAAGGCACTATATAAAAAGATACCTGTACTTATATGTTCATTGCAACATTATTCACAACAACAGTCATGGAACAAGCCTAAGGTCCATCATCAATTGACTGGATAAAGAAAATGTGATATATCATGGAATACTACACAGCTATAAAAAAATATATCATGTTTTTTGCAATAACATGGATGGAACTGGAGATCATCATCCCAAGTGAACAAAATCAGAAACAGGAAACCAAATTTCCTATGTTCTCATGTATATTTGTGAGCTAAATAGTCATAGAGATGGAAATAACAGACACTGAGGACACTAAAAAGACAAAGGTGGGGAGTGGATATGGGGCTCAAAAATCCCCTATTGGGGACAGTTTTCACTATCTGGAGAATGGGTCACCCGAAGCCTAATCCTCACCTCAGCACAATATGCCCATGTAACAACATTGCACTTATACCCCCTGAATCTAAAATAAAACATAATAATTTAAAAGGAAAAGTTTAGCCCAGTAAAGGAAAAAAAAAAAGTTCTCTGGGGAGATTTGTTGGATGAATGAACGAGGGGAACCCAGGAGAGGCGGATGGCTCATTTATTCCTGCGTCCTTCGGAGGTCTGGAGAGCACTCTAACAACCAGAGGGTCAGACAGAGGACTAGGAGTCAGAAAGGGGACAAGAAGAAGCGGCCATGAGGTCCCAGAAAACCAAGAGAGAAAGAGTCCAGTAGGTGGGAGGCAGCATTTGAGGAGGGAACCCGACAGGGAGATGACGCTGAGAGTGGAGTGAGGGGGATGGAGAAGTGTCCCCAGGTTAAATCTGCACCGGAAGGCCTATGGTGCCTGGGCAGGGGCAGGGTCTCACCAGAATGTCCAGCTCTGCCTGGTTCTCAGGCTGTGTGCCCTTCAGGGTAGTATCTGCAGGGGTAAGACAAGGGGCTCATGTCAGAAAAGAATCCCTGGACTTCTCAGGCCTATAGGTCCCAGCTCTGGTTCAGATGGTGCCACTGAGATCCCGGGGACAGCTGTGATGTCCCCAAGGTACCAAGGTGTGAGGGTCAGAGCATCTCCCCTGGACCCCAGCTCCTTCCCATGGAAACACTCATGCAGAGACATTCCTAATATTTCATGAGTTTGGAAAACTAAAGGAATACCTTAAATATTTACATGTGTGCTAGGACTGAGTGCTTTCTTTCTAGACTTTTCTCTGGAATTTTAGATATTCCAGAGCAGTTTTTCTAGCTGATCTTTCCTGTCTGCCTGGTTTCCCTTTGGTGGCGCCCTAAGCCCACCCTCACTCAGCACACAGGTTCCACATTCTCTGCTCACCTGATGTCTTATGTTTGCCCTGAAGACGGTGTCGGAGGAAGAGGAAGAGGAGGAGGAAGAGAAGCAGAACCAAGGCCACGGAGAACCCAATCAGAATCTCCAGGTACCTTTCCAAACCTAGGACACCAGAGATCTCAGGAATTATGTCATTAAATTGAGCATCTACTGTGTGCAGACACGTGCTGGGTCTCTCATGCATCACCTTCCACACTGAAAGCGATGCTGCAACATGGGATCACCACACACACAACGCCCACTTTACATAAGGAAACTGAAGCTCTAGGGTTCCCACAGTCAGGAATCAGTAAAGCTGGGAAGTGAATCTGGGAGCCTGACTTGGAGCTCTTGGTGTCTTCACCAAAGCTGAGCACCTGAGTAATGGGAAATTGCCTGAAAACCCTATTCCACTGTCCTAATACCCCCTCCCCTGCACAAAGTCATCATCACCAAAGCAGAAGAGACAGGCCCCTGCAGAATTAAGTCCTAGGAGGCTTCCCTGGAGGGTTCCACTCTCAGGATATCACAGTCAGAGTCAGAACTGAAAGGAAATTGACTTTTTGGGCAGGCCTCTCACCTTTACACTTGAATAAACTGAGGCCCAGACAAGGAGGGGCTTGTCCAAATCACCATTTCCAGAGGAGCCTAAACTAGTGGCATTATGTATACCCTTCCTCCCATGGATTCTGTCCCTCCCTCCCAGAGCCCTTTACTCACCTTTCTGAGGACCTGACTCTGTGGGTGTGTGGGTCTGATTCTCAAGGCCTCCTAGGTCAAAACAGGGAGTTGGGGGGCTCTCCTTCTCCCCACTTCAGCCCGGTTGCTCCTCCCCCAGGTTGAAATTCCAAATCCCTGTCTGCCTTGAGCCACCCCGGGCCTCACCAGCCTAGCCTCAGAACCCCCGGGAATCCTTGTGTCTCTGCCCAGTTCCTAACTCCCTGGACTGGAACTGAGCTGAGTGTTAAAACTAAGAGTTAGACCAACTGAGGGTCTGTAGAGACAGACCTGGGGGAATTAGAATCTCTCTGGACAGAGGCCCCAAGACTCACCAGCTGTGGAGATGGGCCCTGTGGGTGGGGAGCTGGGGCCACCCAGGGATTCTAGAAAAAGGGAAAGAAGGAGGTGAGGGGTTGAACATTGCCCTAGAGATGCCATGTCTGATCAATCTAGACATCTGTCCTCTGGCCTCCCCAGATGCCTCTAACCATCCACCTGGTATATTCTGAACCCCAGGTGAGAAGAAGGGGTGAACATGCCTGAGAAGACCCATGTTGGTACCCTGTCGTACAGAGGTGAATATCCGTCTGGCTGACCCTCCCTCAGAGCCCCTTCCCTTAACCTCAGCCCAGAGCTCTTCTGTGGTCAGGACAGTGAGCTAGCCCTTTTAGCTCAGGGAGGACAGGGTCAGAGGGGCTCACCTGAGACAACCAGCTCCAGGGGGGCACTGGAGTTTGACAACAGGTAGGAGGTGTGGTTTGAGCCATAACATCTGTAGGTACCCCCATGGTTTGAGGTCACAGGACTGAAGGAGAACTCTCCCTGGTACAGCTGAGCTTGGTACTTTGCTCTTAGATGCAGTGGAGGACTGGCCGCCCCCTCCTTGGACAGAAAAAAAATGTCCACTGGGCTCTCTAACTGGCACAACAGGGTCACATTCTTTCCTGAGGCCACTGTGAGGCCTGGCTGCGCCGAGAGGGAGGGTTTGTCAGGGAGGTATCCTAGAGAGAAGAGGATGGGTCAGGGACTATCCCACATTGTTTTGAACAGAGACCTGCCCAGGGCCGCTCTCTGAGGATCCTCACGGTCCGTCTTTGTGGTTTCTGAGTTTCTTCCCACCCCCATCTCCTGTCTCTCTCTGTCTCCCCTTCTTTGAGACCCCCACCCTTCTTCTCAGCTATCACTATCTGTGGATCCCTTGACAGGGACTGTGCAGAGTCTGGGTTCCCAATTGAAACCGCTTTACTCCTCACCTGAGACCAGGATGTCCAGGGGCTCACTTGGTTTTGACCACACATGGGGTGTTCTACTGTTATAGCCATAGCATCTGAATGTCCACTTGTGACTGGGAGTTATGGGGCCCACAGGGAATAGGGCCTGGAACTGCCCAGTTGATTGTTGCAGTGAGTGTGGAGTCCAGGAGAGATTTTTTCCTTCTATATCAAGAACAAAACTGTCACGTCTTCTCTGTAAGCTACACTGGAGAGTCACGTTCCCTCCTGAGTTCACAATAGGACTTGGCAGGACTGAAAGGGTGGATTTGCTGTTGACTTCTAGGAAAGAAGTTGGAGCCATGTTAAATGGGGCTCATACATCTCACATGGTCTCCTAGGGCTGGGTTGTGGGGAGGGGGAGATATTCCTGAGAGTACACCCCCTTTCTGAGGGCAGAACCTGGGGCTGGGACCTCTGATTGTCTTCTCACCTATCACCACCAGCTCCAAAGGGTCACTCTGCTCTGACTTGTAATGGTGGCTGTCATAGTAGCAGCCATATCTTCCTGCATATTCATCTGTCATGAATGAGATGTAGAACTTGCCCTTGTTCCCAGACTCCTGTGTGCTCTCTATATCACTGGGCAATGTACTTCCCTCTTTTTTGAGATGGTATTTCTGGTTCTTCAGCGTCCCCTGGCACCAGATGGTTACAGAACTTCCCCAAGAGATCACAGACCCTGGCTCAGCCCAGAGGCTGGGTTTTTGGGGGGTCCCTGGAAAGAAATTAGAGCTTGGTTCCCATGATATCCCCTCCCCTCAAGCTTTCAGTCTCAGGACCCTCCAGTTGTCCACATCAATCAGTCCAGAACTCCTATTCTCCAGTCCCAGATATCCTGGAATGGCCTCTTGTCCTCAGTGTGGAGGAGAGAACTGGGACATCTGCAGACAGACTCACCTTCCCGCCCTTGGATCCTGGAGTCGAGATTCAGCCCTGGAAGAGAGTTCTCTGTGAGAGATTTGTCCTCTGAAGCTTATGCAGGTCCTTTTCTTTCCCAGAGTCTCCTGAAGCCCAGGGTCTCCTCATGGACCAGTGACTGGTTTGGGGGTGGGTTCCCTCTCAGACTAGGGTCTCCCCTCCCTGTTTTCAAATCTCACCAAGGAAAAGCAGGACAGTGAGGGTGGAGGTCATGGTGTCTTCTCCTCTGGTTTCTCACTGTACAGATGGGTGAGATTACAGCGTTTGGCAGGAGAGACAGAAACACAGCGTTTGGCCACTTGGGGCTGGGTTATTGCTGTCACAGGATTGACACATCAACAGCCTCTCAGAAAGGGGAACTTCTCTCCCTAGAAGGCTGATTCTTATTTCCATAACGTTGGACCTGGGGTGAGCACCAGTCTCTCTGGAGACATTTCACACTGAAATGCCATCTGTCCTCACCCTGGCAAATATCTGTCTGATCTGTCCTCATGTCACCAAAGGCCAGGTTATAACAGCAAATAGACCTTATTACTTCCTGAATTGGCCAATTCTGGTGAAGGTGACTGAGGGCTCCTCCTTCCCTCTCAGAGCCTGCCACGTGGTCTCTTTCACTCTTTCAGTCCGTCCATCAGCACATCCCTGTGGGGTCCTCATTATGGCCAGTAGTCTCCCCATGCCTGGAGATGCTTCAGAGAAGATGCAGGTTCACACTGCATTTAAGACTCAGGTCAGCAGAGACATAGGTATCATCTGACTGTGCAAGTTGAGTGGCATTGTGAAGAAGGCAGAAAGGAGAAATAAGAAAGGAAATGCTGACTCCTCTCTTGCTCTTGGAGTATGAGTTTTCTTTCTATCAATAGTTCTCTTGTCTGATTTTTTTGTTCTTTCTTCCTTTTTTTTCTCAGCAGCATCCATCCCCCACCTCTTTGGTAACAAACGCAGCTTCATTTCTGCCTTCTTACGTTTTCTTGTTTTCTTGGCCACCCCTTTGCCTTGATGCATGGTCAGGGTTTTGGAAACAATTACTTAGGTTTGAGCTCTGATTTGGGGGTGATGTGGAGACTGGCTTTTATTGAATACCTCACTGTGCAGTTCAAGTTGAGTGGCATGTGGCCAAGAAGACAAAGGAGAAATAAGGCGGGGGAAATGCCCTCTCCTTTTGCTTTAAATTTTGGGTAAATTTTTTTAATCATATAAAAGTCCCTTCTTGGGCTTCTTCTCTTTTTTTGTTTTTCTTATTCTTTTGCAACAGCATTTACAACCACCCCCTTGGGAACAAGCCTCTGTTTCACTCCTAACTTCTCAAGACCCCTTGTTTCCTTGGCCATCCCTCTGCAATTCAGTCCATGGTCAAGGTTTTCAGAAGTTACTTGTGTTTGAGCTGTGATTTGGTGAATTGGATGGAGAGTTTTTTATATTTAATTCCTGAGTGTGATTCACTACCTATGTGATCTTAAGCAGTAACTTCCAATCTCTTAGCCTCAGTTTTTTTCATTTGGAGAATGTTTTTATGAACTCCACTCCTCAGAGTGGTTGTGAGTGTCAGAGGTTCCTGGGTCCTTCAAAGAACTCAATTGTGGTTACATTACATTTTAGTTGAAAACATGAGGAGCTGTGACAGAAAGGGACCCCGGTGTTGAACTCCACAGTGAAGGTGGATAATTGATGCACTTTTATCTGCTCCTAATGCTGAGAAATGCTACATATAGTATTTCTGAAATATGCAAATCATCAAAGTCTTGGGCAGAAAAGGAGAAATGAAAGTTCCCTTAATAGAGACGAAATGGAACCACAGCAAAGGACAGGGCCCAAAGCTGAATTGAGACACATGACTGTTAACATCAAGGTCATTGGGGTGAAGGTTTTCATCTCTGTGTGGACATAAGAACCCCAGGGTCTGTACAGGCAGAGGAAGTCAGGGATCCAGGTGAAGGTTGGAGGCTGTGCTTTCAGCCACACCCGAGGTTGGAGTGGATACAAAACAGCACTGGGAGTTTCCTCAAGGGACTATCCAAATCATCCTGCCATGAGACTGGGGGGATTCCACATAAAGACCCAAGGATGTTCAGTCCAAAGCATTTATTAGCCGGATTTCCTTATGGGGTGAAGAGTTGTAGCATGGCTTTAAAATAGACAGGAAGACGTCAGATATTCTACTCAGTGTTTCATGAGACAAAACAAAAAGATAAAAACAAGAGAAAATCATCTCTGAGTATAGTTGTTTCTTGGCATACGTATTGATACCAACTCTCATATACCAAAATACACCATACTTAAGTCCTGCAGGCAGTACTTGAAGATCTGGATAAAGAAAAAGTTGACCCTGCCTATATGTGAGTTTTGCATCGGGTGTATGACATATTATCTTTGATCACTGTTTTATTGGAAAAAATGCACATATAATGAAACCTGAGCAGTTCAAACCCATATTGTTGAAGGCACAAATGTATGTGGAGTTTATTTGGAAGTGACAAAGAAATGTTATAATATGGATCACATGGAATGGAAAACCACCTATGTATCTTTGAGGGAAAGATAAAGGGAAACCCCAAATAGCAGAAATGAAAAGGTTCACATATCTGCTTAGAAACAGAGTTTACTGGATCCTGAAGTCCAAAGACAGCATTGCCAGTTCCATGGTGGAGATGCCATAACTGGGAAAGTGTTCTTTTGAGAACATTGTTGGAATTATGGAAATTCTAAAGCATGTCTAGTGATAAGCACTATCAAAGCAGGAAATACGTGAAGAACAAGAACATATTTCTTGTGAGGTTTTTGTAAAAATCCTTAGAAACAGTTCTAATTTCAGATTTGTAAGCATGTGCCTAATCTCTCTCCTGACTTCTTGGCGCTATTTTTTTCTGGGTCTAACTAAAGCATTTTTGTCCTGGTACCTGCAACTTTCATTTAAAATGTTATGTAGTGAGGAGATTTGGATAAAAAGTTTTATAAAAGAGTTTATGTAAGTTTTTTCAGGATACAGCTAGTTTCTATGGGTGTAGCAAAAGGGTTAACTTCTCTGGGGTTTTTAAAAAACAACCTAAACACCTTCATTAAAATCTGGGAATGTGCAAGGCCTCAACTTGGTTGCAAATATGCAGATGAAAACATGCAGCTGGTGATGTCACAGAGCAGTCATGACATTCTGATTTTCCCTTCCAGGACAGGAAAACAAAAGTCAGGAAAACTTTAATTAACGTTAAAGAAATAGCTTGACTATGGTAAAGTGAATCATGTCTACAGTAAATAAAAATAATTCAACACCCAGAGAAAACCACCTATTTTCAAATAAATGCCAATCTTATATGGATTAGATTTTCCAAGACTAAAAAGTGATGAAAAAGTTACTGGAGAAATATCATCAACATATTAACTGTGAGTAGAGAATTCTCTACCTAATTGTTTAGGGGAAAAGTAAAAGTGACAATAGTGACCAAAAATCTAAAATCTGAGGGGATTCAATCATCCTCAACCTGTCAGATCTCATGTCTCACATATTAAACCCAGTATGTCAAGCAGCAATTTTTTTTGAGTTGGGATCTCACTTCATCACCCAGGCTTGAGTGCAGTGGCACAACTCACAGTCATCTCAGCATTGACCTACTGGGCTCCAGCGATCCTGTAGCCTCAGCTTTCCAAGTAGCCAGAACTACAGGCATATGCTTCCATGCCCAGCTCATTTGTTATTTATTGAAGAGACAAGGTCTCACCAAGTTGCTGGGACTGGTCTCAAACTCGCAGGCTCAGGCAACCCACTTGTCTCAGCCTCCCAAAGTGCTGGGATTACAGGCTGAGCCATCAAGCCCAGCCTCAAGTAGCAATTTTATGAGTGATAATGAGGGCATTGAAAGAAGATCTCTTAAGTATCAGATGTGTTTAATTTTCTCTCTCATAAGGCAATGAGAAAGAGAGAGCAAGAACAAGAGAGAGAGAGAGAGAGAGAGAATGAGGAATGAGAAATTTTTAGATCTATAAGGTATTATGTGTATAAATATAAGAAAGGACCCAACAAAACCAGAAATTTCCTTTTGGAGGGCAGACTCCTTGTATTACAGGCTTCCCCCACTAGGTAAGTGGATTGCCTGAGCCCATCACCTTCAGTGGACCAGCTAGCATTGTTGTGAAATACCTTGAGATGTGGCAAACAGGTGACTGGTTCTTCCACCATAACATTGCACCTGCCCACAACCGACTGAGTGTTCATCAGTTATTTTCCAAAAACGTCATTGCTCTTGTGTCCCATTCTCTTAATACAGGAGAACTCGCTTCAAGCAACTTTTTTGTTTGTTTGTTCCCCGGATGAAAAAAAATCTACAAAGGGAAATATTTTGCTAATGTAGAAGAGGTGAAACAAAAAATGGCAGTAGAACAAAAAGGCATCAAAATTGAAAAGTTCAAAAACTGTTTTGACCGGGACAAAGTTATCTTCATAGGTGTGTTGTATCAAATAGAGATTACTTTTTAGTTGACTGTCTTCTATATTTTATGTCTAAATTCACTTGAAAGCAGTAATGAAGTAAATCATTAAAAAAATGATGACCTCCCAAAGCAAGAAAATAAAATGCTTCCGTGAACTATGGAAAATGACAATACATTGGAAAAT